ATAGAGTGGGAAAATGTTAGCAACCACACAAAGGCAAATGACCTTACAAGTAGTGTTAGGAGCTTCAGGCATTATTCTCAGGTTGGTGGGAAACCAGTGATGAAGTCTAAATAGAGTAGTGACATGATTTGCATTTTAATAAGCCACTGTGGCAGCAGTAGGTGGTAGATTGACTGGGAACAGAACAGATGAAGACACTGTTTCAGAGGCTACTGCTGGAGTCCCTCGGAAAGCTGACTTTGTTTGGACTGGGGGACAGCAATGTGTGGAGACAAGGCAGGGAGATTTAAGGTCTGTGTGGAGAGCAGGGGTCAGCAGCACTGGGTAACTGGGGTAGCAGTGACTCCCAAGGCTTCTGTCTGTAGCATGTATTGCTGGTGTGTCTGGTGATGGCATTTCCTGAAACCCGGAGCACTGCTGGAAGAGCAGGTCTGGGAGAGAACAGCACTGTGCTTGAACTGAACATGTCCTTGGGGTGGCAGAAAAGAGACAGCTGGGTGAACAGTCGTGGATCTCCAGATGAAGATATATTCTAGAGATAGAAGGCATTTAGCTTGACAAAAACGCTTGTCACTTCACCCTAGAGCAAAATGCGGGAATCAGAAGGTCAGATATTTTATTCAAGAGGCTCTTCCTCTCCTTTAGCCTCATGTTGGCCTGCACCTGTTACCCTTGAGGGTGGTGTGACACTCCCTCTGCTGAGTTACCAGATCACACTCTGGGAAAGGCACACCCAGCAGTTTCCAACCCTGATTTTGTAACACTCTGCGTGGTCTTTCACTTTTGCAAGGTATGTGGTAAATGTCTCAAAAAAAAAAAAAAATAGTTCCCTAAGCATTTTGGTAATATATATTAAATTTCTAAAAATCTTTATACTCTCTGATTCAGTTCTACATTTGGGATTCTCTTCTAACTAATTAGAAATGTGAACAAAGTTGTATGGGTAAAAATGTTCATCTTAGCAAAATGTGTAACACTTAAAAGTTAAGAAAAATCTAAAAATAGGTGAAATAAGACACATACATGTGTGAGATACTAGCCAGCAACTAACAGTTATATTTATGAGGGTATATAGTAGTATAAATTGTATAATTATGAAAACTTTTATTTTAAAAATATTTTGGCAATTTTTTTATTTTGATAAAATACATATAACATGAACTTTACCATTTCAACCTTCTAGGTGTACAAGTCATGCACTGTACAAGTCAGTGACATAAAGTACATTCACAGTGTTGGGCAGCCATCACCACTATCCATTTCCAGAACTTTTTCATCATCCTTAATAGAAGACCTGTGCCCACTAAAGAATAAGTAAAATACTTTATTTCTAAGAATTAAACCATTTAATTTAAAAATTAATCTGTAGGTCATATTAGGGAGGCCAAAGAAGGAAGAAGCATAAAACAAAACACTTAATGGGACCAGAGAGATGGAATAACTTGAAATGAAATCAAATGAAATGGAACAAATGCTTTTTATCATTTAAAATAGAAACACTGGAAAACCACAAGCATTGAAGCCCGGGCTCTGCCCCCAGCGTGGGTTGGGGTGTGAGGTGTGTGTCTGTACTGCTTGGAATGCAGGCTGGCTGAAGGTGGTTTCTCTACTGCCAGAAGCATTAGTTCATCAGGAAGCCCTATGTGCAGAGAGATGCAGGAAAAGATAAGGGAGAGGCCGTTTCCATCAGCACCTCTCCCCACCGCATCTCTGATACTTGGTGTCTTGCACAGCCTTCCCATCAGCTCCCACCCCAGGCTGTCCTAGATGCCTCTTGCTTATTGCTCTCCCATTCCTCTCTGCCATTCAATTCAGCAGAACAGTTGAGTAAACATTTATTGAGCGCCTCCTGTGTACCAGTCACTGTGTGCTGTGCTGAAATACAAAGATATGTAACCCAGAGTCTACTGTGGGGACAGACTTATAATCCAACCAAGTTCAATATAGTGGGGTCTTTGTAACGATAGAGATATGCACAGAGACTGGAACCTCACCTGGATTGAAGGTTTTGAGAAGGCTTCCTGGAGGAGAGGGTATTTGAGCTGCACCTTGAAGAGGAAGAAAAGTTACTTGGGTGATAAAAGGCAGGACAGGCACTCCAGATAGGGGAAGCAGTCACATATCGCGTAAGAGAATGGATCCATCAAACATAGCGTGCATGCTCTTCTTGTTCTCAAAGGTAATCCATCATCATATCGTTGTACATTTTTGGTGGGTAGAGTCTAAGTCTTATTTCACTATATCTGCTAAGCTTAGCACAGTTCCTCCACACAGAAGAGGCTCAGTACATGTTTATTGAACTGATTTGAAATGAATGCTGTAATTTATCATTTATAAGCCAACTTTAAATGACATCGTTAGGACATTTACACAGAGCAGGCATGGGACTCCAGAGTTATTTACTCCCCACCCCATCCTAAACTTTTTCTTGTCTTGCAGCTTTTCCTTCTTTCTTTTCCACTCTAAGCCCTGGGAGGGTCTGATGAATATACTCCGACTTGCTTTAACCAGATTATCCATTTCCCTTTCTAACTCTGTGTTACTAAGAACTCCCCTTCCTAGCCCTGGCCCCTTCTGGCCTGATAAAATGTGGCAAAGATAGGCCTTAATTGATCTCATGATGGCTGGGATAGCATAGAACAAGCTGGTCACTGCCTTAAGGCTGACTCAGCAAAGGACACTATCACAGAGATTGTATAGATGAGGTCTCTTGTACTGTAATCATAGCTGACATAGCTGACATATGCTAGGCACTGTTTTGTCTGCTTATTTATATTAACCCATTTGATCTCAACAAAACTGTAGGTTAGGTACTATAATTATCCCTGTTTTACAAATGAGACTTCTGAGGCACAGAGACATTAAATAATTTGCACAAGGTCCTATACCTAATAAAGATAGAGCTGCGATTTAAGACTAGATTCCGGTTTCAGAGCCTGTACACTTACAACACCGTATCTAAACGTTCTCTTCTATCCGCATAAACCATCCTCATCCCATAGTCATCAACAAAGAAGGCAGAGGGCCTGCTCTTCATGGTGCGGTGTTCTTAGATGTGTAGGTATATATTGGTCAGGGAAATCTAAAGGTATCTGTCAACTGGCTCATGGTAAGCCCTATTTCAATATTTCCATGTTGAAATAAAGAAGTGAGCAGTCGAGTAGATGAAGGCATCACATTAACAGTGGTAGTCAGCCAGGCACATGCTTCCTGTGTGCCAGGAACTGTTTTGTGTGCTTATATATATTAACCCATTTAATCTTAACCTATTTAACCTAATTAACCCATTTAATCTAATATTAACCCATTAATAGGTGTTGTGTGTCTGTTTCGTCGGCAGGAACAAAGCCAAGAGCATTCTTTCATATTCTTACTCCATCATTAAATCATTTGCCCATTTGTCCAGGCTAATTGAGTGCTTGCTGTAGGTATGGCAGGCAGAATTCTAGGTTCTAGGGATCCTGTAGTGAACAAGCCACAGCTCTAGCCCTCCTAGGGCTTCTGTTCTACTGGGGCAGTAAACAATCAATTAAAAAAAAAAAAAAAAAAAAAAACAAAGTAAGCAGGAGAGTGATGAGTGTAGTCAAGGAAGGTGTCTCTGAGGAGGTGACATTTAAGCAAGGGCCTGTGTGAAGTGGAGAAAATGATCTTTATGTTTGCATTCATCTGCTCCTTCATTAATTCAGCAGACAATACAGTTTAACAGACAATACAGTGAGTGGCCTCTCTGCACCCATCACTGGTTGCTGTTGCGGAGAATGTTGGTGGTTGGGGGTGAGGGCTGGGCTGCAGGCAGTAGCTAACCACATATGCACTGGGGGAAGCCGTGTTTACTCTTACAGGGGCAAGAGTGTATACCAGCAGCATTGGTGCAGGTTTAAGAACACACTAGGCAGCATAATCCAGAATAGTAGAGTTTGGGGTTTCCCTCCCCTTTTTGAGCTTAAAAAAAAATCTTACTAAGAAGAGTCATTTGAAAAATAAGAAAGTATTCTTCTGAAACAAATGCATGAGAGAAACTTCCCTCAAAACTTTTAAAGTATAGCCCTTCGTTAGAATAAATTGATAATCTAAATAAGAAAAATGTCAGATTCTAACAACTTAGGAGCTATTTTATGTTCTTTTCAGAATACAATATTTTTTAATAATATGAAAATAGTATTTCTGACATTTTTAAGTATTTGCAGGCTTTGTGCTCATCTTATGTGGAAAAAATTGTTAGTACATAAGGGTTTGATTTACAAGGAGACTACCATAGAAAATCTATTCTAATATTTTATAGCCATCCACTAGAGTAATCCTAATAACCCACATCTGTACTGCACATTACAGTTTAGAGAGGTCCTATGTAATTGATCTGATTCTCACTACAACCCTGTGAAGTAGGTAACGTCTAGGTTGATGTTATCATTCTTAGTAATAGTCAAAGTGGTCGTGGTGTTACTGTCATCTGCATTTTACAGTTGAGGAAACTGACATGTAAGAACATAAGTAGTTTGCCTGGAATCTGTAAATTAAAATTCCCAAGGAGCAAACGTAATTTTAATTTCTGATATTGTGGCCTAATTAAATCTGATATTCAAGAGTAAAAAAATCTAATTGAGCATTTGTAAGCCCTATTTTCTTCTCATCTGTTATTGTCGGGGTGGGAGGTAGGCAGCAGTTAAGAAAATGTGGTTAATATTTCCAAACAGTGCAATATTTTTAATTCTTCTTAGAATTATGTCTCCCTTTTAAAGGTCAATTTATCATCATTTAAATTTTCTTTTGGTCTTTACAGTAATTTATGGTACATTAAATGTTGGTGAAAAACACTTAAAGGGTGGGAATTTCCTTGGAGCCAATTTTTTTCTCTTTGGGGACTTATTTGTTTGTTCTTTCAACAAAAATTTATTGTGTACCAGGAACTGCACTAGGTCCTGTCTCCGCTGCATTCACATTTCTTTGGTGGGTAAGAGTCTTACCTTGTGACTGATGTCTGGCTGTGTCTGTCCTCTCAGGTGGGGTGACCGCTCTCTGTTGGGACCCAGTCCAGCGGGTGTTGTTCTCAGGCAGTTCAGATCACTCTGTCATCATGTGGGACATCGGTGGGAGAAAAGGAACAGCCATCGAGCTCCAAGGACACAAGTAAGGCTGCTGGTGCTTTCATAAGGAACTCTCAGAAAAACATTCTCGGCTGACAGCTAGAACAAAGGAGTGTAGCCCAGTATCTATGGCAAGATCCTAGCATGGAAAGGAACATGGTGGGAACACAAATACTGGCCACTTTGATTTATAACTGTGTAAAGCTGTGTTTATATACTTATACCCCATTTGAGTCCACAGAGCATCCGAGAGTGCTTACAAAACCATAAAATAATGGCAGCAAATAAATAAAAGGCAAAAATTAGAACTGGGAAAAATATAACAGTAAAAATTTGAGAGTGAGGAAAAAAAGAGCTTAAAAATACAAGCTGTGAAGGCTTACAAAATTTCTATAATTGAGTTCAAATGTGGCTTCAAGCTCCTTGGCAGCATACAGAAAAGAGGAGAGGTAAGATCCTTCACAGTACATTTTGTACTTGACTAAATATTTATTGAGTCCTTGCCTTGATTCATGTTAGGCTCTTCTTCCTTAAGGGTTAGGTTTTATGGGACTGCAAGGAAGTGCAGAGAAAGACTTGCATTTCCTTAGAGCAGTTCTCAAACTTTGCTGGGCGCAGAGAATCAATGAGGAATTTGTGAAAAGTTGCCCGGTTCCTGTCTGCTAAGATTCTGGTTGCCGTCTGGCGCTGTGTGGATCTGTGCTTTGACAAGCTTCCCAGGCAATTCACCACTGGTGACCCTCAGCCCACACCCTAAGATGCCCTGCTGTCCCTGGGGGAAAAGCCTAATCTTTTTGCATAAAAGAATGTTAGATCTGCTTTACAACTCTAGTGCTCATCTGAATTGTTTTTTACTTATAAAGTTTTCAAAATAATATTGAGCAGCCCTTGGCAGCCATAAACAAATGTTAGTAATGTTCCTATGAACTAACCAGTTTTAAGCAATGTTGGCTTTTCCTATAAATCTGCTTGGAAACCCTAGTTTCAAAATATTCTGCTAAATAAGTAAATCTAATTTGCAATTGTTGGACATAAACTAAATTTTGGAGGACCCATATACAAATAATTGTTTTAGTTTTAGAATTTGGTGTTAGAGAAGTAGCTACTAAGCTCTTCTTTCTCATATTGGAGAACAGAACAGCTGTCTGGGGTCACTCCTGGCTTGTGGGGCCACTCAGACCTTGTCATCAGTTCATTAGAGGAATTGTTCCCTTATGTTTATCTTTATGACAAGGGGACACACATCCAGGTTCTGTAGAAGGAGTTCACATCATCCATGTGAGAGAAGAAAAAAGAAGCCGGGGCACCAGGCACGATCATGCCTATAACCCCAGCACTTTGGGAGGCCGAAGTGGGCAGATCACAAGGTTAAGAGTTCGAGACCAGGCTAGCCAACATGGTAAAACCCCATCTCTCCTAAGAATTCAAAAATTAGCTGGATGTGGTGGCATGTGCATGTCATCCCAGCTACTCTGGAGGCTGGGGCAGGAGAATCACTTGAACCCAGGAGGTGGAGGTTGCAGTGAGCCAAGATTGTGCTACTGCACTCCAGCCTGGGCAACAGAGCGAGACTCCATCTCCAAAAAAAAAAAAAAAAAAAAAAAAATGCCAAACCACAGTTCTGTTGAGTAACACTATTATCATCTAATCTGCCAGGTAATTGCTGCCAACTTGGACTCTCTCAGAGAAGTGAAATTCAGGTTTTGAATGAAGATGACTAATATTTACTGGACTCATTCAATTTAACTCCTAACTAGTTTTATTTTTACACAGTGATTAATGAAGACTGCAAGCACTCTTGCACAATTTCATGCACCAGATGATCAACTATAGCAGGGCTTAACACCAGCATCACTGTGTGCAAAGGGCCCTTGACCTGAATGGAAAATGTGGTTCTGAGAAACTTATACCTATAGTTTGTTAAGCGAGGAAAAGATATAAAGTTTAGATAAGTCTGTCAGTCCTAGAAAAATAAAACTTTAACAAATAGGTCTTTCAGTTTCTAAGTATAGACTTGCTCTTTTAGAAAATGGAATAGAACCTGCTTGGAGTCCATGCTAATAGAATAATGCCCTTAGAACTTGTACAGGTAGGCAGGCAGGCTGCTGAGATCAGGAGCAACTAGGCAGAAGTGCCTTTACACAGGATGAAGTGCAGAGGGCCTTTGCCTGGTGCTTTATTTAATTCAAGCTTAGTAATACATAAAGTGAGCTCTATGAGGGACTCCTTGTCATTAGGTCTTAGCCCTGAGAGGGGTGGCTCTGGTATCTCAGAGACAGGAGAGTAGACTTTCTCAGCATCAATCAGTGTCACTCCGTTAGAGTGGGTCTGAATACCAGGGTGGGGATAAAGAAGCCCCTGGAGCTGCTGGAAGTAGTGAGATGGCATGGAAGGTTTCAGGATCATCTGGCAGAATAGGAGACCACTTTCAGGCCAGCAGGGAACAACTTTCACAGCCACCATTCCTTCACCGTGAAAGTCAGCTGCTGGCATTCAGTGATTCTCATATTTGAGTAGCACCTAATATTTTGTCAAAGAGCTTTCAAAACACACAGACTCAGTTTAATCTTGCAATAACACTATAAAAGAGAGAGCTCAGATATCATTTTTAGAAGAGACTCTTGAGGTACTGTATTCAAAGACCCTAGCTGGTAGCTTAGGTCTCGAACCCTTAATTGAGCTAATTAGCACCTTTCATATATCCAGCCCTCAGTAAGGCACTTGGTATTCTAAAGTGAACATTGACTAACACATGGACCCCAACATGCCTGGTGATGCTTAGACCTCACGGCTGCCCTTTGCTCTCCTACAATTCCTGGTTTTCCCTCCACCCCCAACGTGACAGATGGTGGCCAGAGTTCCAAATCGGGGGCATAATTGGTGAGCCTGGGAACTAGGGAGAGCAGACTGGCTTCCCCAGGATGGAAAGACTGCTTTTCCTTGGTATGAAAATGTCCAGCCATTCTGTTGAGGGACAGCTGCACATGTCTTCTGTTCTGGGTTCTGCAGCTTCTTACCATCCTTCAGCAACAGAAAATGTGACATTTTTATAACTAGCTTGATTTGGTGTGTAAAAATCCCATAAAGCAGAGAAAGCTTTAGCACCAAAGAAAGTGATTGATGACAGTGAAACTGTTTCCAAGTCCAAGGGAAAAAAGCTAAGAAAGTATTCTTTTATACAATATTATCTGCATTGGAAGCAGTTTGGTGTATTTATTCCCTGTAGCAAGTGGATCGTGATTGTGTGCTGTGCTCTGTGGGAGGAAGGGCAAAAAAAAAAAAAAAAAAAAAAAAAAAAAAAAAAAAAAAAAAAAAAAGATTCTAGATTCCAGGACCAGTTATGTTTGCAAGCATCAGTTACTAGTTGGATGGTTATCACGGAAACATAAACCTGGACATGCCTACCTTGTCATAGCTAATAATGGTACTTGGTCTTTTTAGATCCCTTTTAAATTATTACATAATCCTGTCATTTCATGACCATAATTTTTCTTTCTAATAATGTTTTCCTAGACCTCTAAGACTTGATGGTAATTTAATATTACCTGACTTAAAGCACGAGTAAAGATCTTTGCTATTCCTCATGTTGGAACCCTCACCAAGACTGGATTCAGCAGCTTGTGCGAGGCTAGGTCACAGCCATGACCCTTGGCACTTACAGTCTGTGTATTTGCTTTCTCTTTCCAAAATCCAAGCTCTTGATTTCTCTCTTACTACTCTTAGCATGCATGAGAATTCTGTTATAAGCCTCCTTAAAGCCTTTTGGCAAAGAAATAAGCCCCTTGTAAATAAATATACATTGAGAGAACTTGTGCTTTTCCCTTTGTATTGAGTAAATTGCATTGAAAATTATAAAAGGAGCAGAATTCTTGCATTCAGCTTCTGGGTTAGGGGACAGGAGCACAAGCATCAGTATGAATGACAGCTTTCTTTCTGTGCAAATCTGTGCAATTTAAGAGCATTTCCCACTGTAGTACTAGGGTACTGTTAGGATAGAGGGGAAGAGATGTCTTTTTTATTTCTAACTATTTAGCTAAACATAATAGATCAAAATATCAGCTATGAGAGTTTTCATAGAAGGTAGAATATTCTCAAAGACAGAAGGGCTGGAAAATGTGGTCGTTAGTGTGCAGGCCTCTGAGTCGGGTCAGACTATATTTGAGCTGGCCTTCCTGCCAATGGCCTGTAGCCTCAGGCGAGGCACTGTGCTTCACTGATCTTCAGTTTTCTCAACTCTAAAATAAGGACAAAATTGGAAGGAAAAATCCTCACAAGGTTGTCAAAAAATATAAATGATGTAATACATATAAAATAATCAGCCCAGGAATTCGGGCCTGGTAAATGGCAGTTGTTAAGATTACTCTTGTTAATCAAAATTCCAAGTCAGAAAACCTACTTTGTGATTTGACTACTGTTTCTCTCTGTAGAATTTCCTGTGGAAATATTAACATATATTCATAACTCAGTCAACACATTTACTGAGCTCCAGCTGCATACCAGACTTTGTGTTAGGCACTTAGGACACAAAAGGGAGTTAGGAAACAGCCCTGCCTTTGTGGAGCCATGCTAGAAGTATGAAAATGGACAGATGGCACCATTCACCAGTTTTACTGGAAAGTGGGAGGCCTCGGGGGTGGGGGGAAAGGGGCATCACTCTTGGTTTGGATGTTAGATGAAGAGATTCTCATAGTTCTCAGGATTAGGAAGTTACCCAGAACAGTGAACAACATGAACTAAAATACAGTGGGTTCAGGAAATGCCAGTGGACAGAGGGCGAGAGCCTAATCTAAACGTCCACCCTGCCACCAAACAGCAGAGCATCGCTGGTGCTCAAACTAGTGCCCCTAGACAAGGGTCTGTGAGTTCAGGTTTAGCCTGGGAGTGGCCCAGAAATCCCTGAGGAAGCAGATCCCTTTTAGAGTGCTTTGGCTTGGGATGACCCTACATATTGTCCGGGAGACCTCACTTGTGTGGATTGCTCACAGCTTTCTCTGGTCCTTGGTGAAGACTTATGCATATAGGAGAGTGAGATCTCTGGTAGAA